GATATCGGTTATTGGCTATATGAGTTTTAAAATATCGGCATATCGCCGGGCAAATGCAATGAAATTTGTACTCTCCCGACAATAAAACTTCTTGCCCTGGGCGAACGGGCAATGGTTAATATCAAGCCCTGTACACGGTCTTGGAAATGTAGCTTTACGTGTGCCTGATTGTGTTGAGGCAGCTTTGCGTCTGCTCAGATGTTCACAGACACATGTTACAGAAGTACGTGGCGACTCTCTATAAATTAATGATTATTTATGTGAAGATGAGAAGGTCTTATTTATTTTTAAAAGAATGCATGTCATGGATCGAATATTAAATTCCTTCAGCGTTCTGTGTTTTGATGATTTTTAAAGAGCTCCCTTCTTGAGGGAACACATAAGCCTTGGAGAAATATTCAAAAATGAAAGCTTGTGTAGAAGGTATTTGGCAAGAACGATCTGATTTGTGATCATTCAGTTTAAGTTTTACTTTACAATATTGAGGATAAGTTTAATATTGTTGCCAAGGTTTCAACTATTTTCTCCAGATATTTGAGTAACAAATAAAAGACTTAAATAAGCCAAACATGAATGCTTGGATATTAACTCACCGTTTTATGTTTTTAGCCTCAGCCTAGTACTTAAACCCTGCGGGTTAATGAAGGATACAATCCCTCACTATGATAACACCCATTATTGCTGCAGTTTGGAAATGTATCATGGTTATTCTGTTGAATGTGATTTAAATGTTCTGGACCGTGAATCATTCTCTGATGGTGTTCATAATGTTTTGATAGAAAAAGCTACATTTTCCCATGGCCTTCCCTGGTTACTCCCACTCTTCGCCAGTAATTTCCCACATCTCCCAGAATGACTTTAAGCAACTTCCAGTAGTGCAGGTTTGCTGTGGTTTATGTGGAGCAAGAGCTTACAGAGTAATGGTGAGAAATAAAAATGAGGAATAGAAGCTGAGTGCTCTGCTGTTTAGAACACGAATTAAAGTAACAGGACAGACAGGCTTCATTGCATTTGCTGCAAGCATAATTCAGTTACCTGTTAGTCAGGTTAGTTTTCCATTTTTAAATGTTTTACTTTTTGACATCACCCAAGTACAGATCTCCTGGTGAATAAGCCTGACCATGGAGTGAATTTAATTCTAATATTATTCCAAAGAACAGGTTTCAGAAATAGAAATAAAAAAAGGTAATCCAGAAATGAAAAGCTGAAAAATGTTTTATGAAAGAAAAAAGTTTGGAGTAACTTTGCTATTTTCTATCTTTTTTTAAAATGTATTTATATTTCATATTCTATCTTTTAAAACTATAAGTTTTGTTAAGACATTTTATATTTTCCACTTTTTTCAAATCAGTTTTTTTTTCCCCAGAGAGTATTGCATTCTATTTCAATTACTTGTAAATTACTTACTGCTCCATTCAAGCTCAATAGGTATGCTCACTCTGGACAAATAAAAGTGCAGTTACTAATGTTCATACAACCAATAGAAATGCATCTTTGCTCCTCAATCGAGTCTTATAAGTAAAAAGATGGGGATCTGTAAAAACGCTACTTGAAAAAAATGCATTTCATAAAAACTCAACCTGAAGAAGGGAAATAAAATAAAAATCTCTAAAAATATATATATATATATATATATATATATATATATATATATATATATATATATATATAAATTAAAAAATCTGAGAAAACAATTTTTTTAATTACAAACATGTTCTTTTTAATTTCCATTTACAAAATGCGTTCTTTGCTTGAAACAATAATGGAACAAAATTCACTCCATACATGACTACATGCATGTGGCTCTGTGTTTTAACAACTAAAAGCAGGAAAATATTAACAGTCTTTGTTTTAGGATCAGAGTCCTGGATTGAGAGGAAAAGCACCCCTCACTATCCTCGGCAGGGCCCTCATGTTTGCAGTGAAATCTTCAGCGGCATGCAGCATGACTTGATAATCAGTTACATTTTAAAATTTTTACAAAGTTTGGTATTATTTATATTTCTTATGTCAATGAACTTATTAACTCTTAAGTGTTTGCAGCAACATGCTACATATCTTATCTAAGTCTGTTGTGGAGAGAGTCATCTCTGCCATCTATCTGTTGATAATTTTACGTGGAACATTTCTTAATAAGAAGAAAAACATTACAGACTGTGAGCATCAGATCCTCAGATCTGCTGTAAGACAGGAACTATTAACGTCTACAACAAAATCCACTAGAAGTCTAAACCGTTCCTTTCCATTTGGGATCAAAAGGTGTTTTTAATTTGAATTGAAGTTAATTAGATACTTAGACTTAGGTTGATTAAAAATGATCAACAAGTTGATTCAGGTGTGATTATACCTCTGTTCTTACACACCGAAGGGGATTCTGGACACTTTTTTTAAAGAGACAATAAACCAATGACCGGTAACACTAACTTAATTGTGTCTCGAACTATAGTTCTGTGAACAACCTATAATCACCCACCCCTTTCTGTAGCCTCTTCATCAGGAAGTCTGATCCTCCGGGCTTCTGACCAAGGCCAGGATACTTAGCCTTCAGCTTAGCTTCCTCTGCCTTCACTGGGTTTGCATTCTTCTCCTGCGAGTCCTGAGGATGGAAGCAAAACAAAATTCGTAACGTCTCAGTAAAAAATAAACTTAACCATAAGTAGGTCTGGGTGATATGGCTTAGATCTAATCTCCCATTTTCCTAACAAATCAGATTAATTCATGAAACTCACAGAGTTTCATAATAAAAATGACAAATGACATATTGCTTTCAAAGACTAGCCGTAATTTTTATTATTTCCTCTCCAAGTCGAACTTCACAACAAAATTCAAGCTGTAAAACCTGCTTGTAAAATAATCTTGTTTTACAAAAAATCAATAAATATAACTAACTAAATGTTTGCATCTATTGATATCACACATTAAGCTCCGTTATCAGTTATATGTAAACATTTAAGAACATATGGTAATGAACTGATGTCAGTCTGAGCTATGAAAGTCCAAGGAGGGGATTGGTGGGAAAAAAAAATAAAAATCCAGATTTTTCAAAAATGAAATCTTGACAGACAAACTGTCATTTATTATACAAAAAATAAAAATTGATGAATCGCCCAGCCTTAACTCACATAGGTGGAGATGCAATGATCCTATATCTGGATCGGATATCGGCTCCAGTGTTGACTTTATTAGCTGGATCCAATCCAGTGCACTTTACATGGAACTGTTATTTCTTTATTTTTGTTGCTTATTTGTTAGAAAATAAAATTAAGTAAATGTATGTCTGTATTAATTTGTTAATAGTGATTATGCCAGACCTCAACTGGAATGGCAAGATATGTGATTCATTGTCATTGTGATTCACCCCCAACGGTTGAAATGGGCTGGTATCAGCTGATACACTCATCGCAGGTATCGTATTGGATTTAAAAAAACTGGATCATTACAGCTCTAATATGAAATAATGCCACATAACTGTAGCTTTAATCGCATCGCAATGCTAAGAATTACAGAATATTGTTCTAAAAGAGAAAAAATGAAATTCAAACTTGTGAAAAAGGTGGCCCTATTCCTGCAAAGTGAATTTAAAATGATGACACTGCCTGCTGGAAATAACATGAGTCACACCATTAATGTTCAGTTAAATCACAACTCGATAAGTAACAGCTGAAGAAGAAGTCAAGTCTGCATACAAGCATTTAATAAGTCACTGTCTAAGGCCTGGAGAAGCTTATCCCAAAGAAAACACTTCTCTGTTTGTATCTTTTTTCTACAGATTTTTGCAACACAATGTGAATGTGGTCTTTTTACGGATTTCATGTTTACACCAAAGACTGCTCTCTGACCATTTTTAATACGTTTTGCAAATCTAATTATGTTAATCTATAACAAACAAGTTTTTTTAAGGGTAAAACTTTTTATTCCTTATGTGTGTTTTTTTTTAAATGAAATAATTTCTGTCATTTTTAAAGTATTGTTTCTTTTATGCATTTTTTCCACATATATGTGCACATATATGAATGATACATATGCATACAATGCAAGTGACTGAGGTCCCTGCAGGCTTATAGCTGTAATCCAGGTGCCACTCAAAGTTAAATATTGAGGCCATGAATTCACACCTCACCCCCTCTGACTGAATCCTGCATAGGTTCTACCCATATCTAAAACCTCACAGGGAAAAAAGGGAAGCAGTAAAGTTATCTGGAAGGCATGGGAAAAATGTCCTTTAAGCAATCGTTGCCTGGCAATCTTAGAGGAAGTTGTGGAACTACCTTAATTATGCATCGGTCTGCAGAGCTTGCTGGGTCAGGGATAAAATGTGACTCAGGACACTAGAGCCGATGAACAGATTCCCTTAGGAGGAGGGGTGAGAGTGTGACTCAGTGGATACAGGTTCACTTGGGACTGTGGCATGAAATTTATGAGCTACTATATTTGGTTTTGATGCAGAGAAACGGCAATATCAAACAGTCTTTTTGGTGTGCTTGCCATTAGAGCGTGGAAATGGTGTTTGGAATGCTGCGAAAATCCAGTTTAGCAGCATTTGAGCTTGATTTGACAATTTTACAACATGCAGTTGTTAAAGATGGTATCTGTTCTTATCGCCGGTGCATCAGTCTCAAATTCTGTATTGCAGATGTAAATAATCAGCTACCAAAAACTTTAGCTTTGGGGCTGTTGATATTAGAGGAAGCTTGAGCGTATTTTGAGAAATCTTATTTGATGTTTTCTTCTTTTAATAACCAGTATGTCCAAATTACACGGCCTACAAAATAAAAAAATAAAAAAAGGCTTGCAAGTATGACCAACTGACAGGTATTTTACCACAGGCACAACTAATGTGCAACTCGATTAATAATCGGACAGCGAAAAGCTCTTGGGAAAATTTTTTGAGAATCTGAACCAGATGCTAAAAATAAATGCAACTTAGAAGTATTGGATTGAGTATGAATCAATTAATGAGGATTATTTCAATTAATTGATACAAACCTACATTTTAAAACACTTGCTAAATAAATTAGTCTGATTAATTTCAGTTTATCTAATACTGAAATATTCTTCAACTAATTTATTAGTAAAAAAAAAAATAATTTCTAGTAGAGTACAGACTTTAAAATGCAATTGGTGAAAATCCACCCAATCAGAAGTGTAATAAAGCCAAAACAGGTACAGGAGATATTGATATTTTGCATTGCAGATGAAAAATATGAATTGGTTAATATGTTCCTTCCATAACTCCTTAGATAACATTTCTAAACATTGTTTTTTTATATATACATTTTTGACATTTATGATGCATTTATTTTCTTTTTGTGTAATTTAGGTTCCAACAGTTACTTTTTGAGGTATATTAATATACAACGAATGTCTATTTCTTTAAAGAAATTAAATAAAAATAAAAAATCTCTACTGCGCTATTATTGACATCAAGATAAAAGTTATGGTTAACTGCATGGGTAAAAACTGCAAGTAGTTGTTGTTAATTGTGTGTAATAATAATTCCAACACAAACCTAAATCCAATATGGCTGCCAAATGTTTAGATCTAGGGTTGGCTTAGGAAATAAATGCATGGATTTTGCTCTTTTATTTAAGGTCCCAATAAATCTATCACAGCACATTCTTTATATTATGATTATTTAGGATTTAAAAGCATTAAATACAAAAGAGACTTTTACTGCAAAGAGTAAAATTTTCCCTTTTGATAGTATCACAAAGACTCGCTAAGGCATCCATACAAGACCTTAGACCTTGCTTAATTAGGTCAGGCCTTCCAATATTGCACATATCAGGTTGTTTGGTAGGATTGGATGTCATTAAACGTCTTTAAGCCTTAATTACAAAAGGTTTGGAATTGCACAATAAAAAAAAAGAATATGGGATATAACAATTAAGTTTCCTTTAGAAACTAATACAAAAAGAAAGCCATTTGTTTAAACTTACTGTTGTCTGTAAATACCTTAACAGTAAAACTATCACATTCAACATATCAGTCTGGCTGAATAATGAACAAGTCAGTTTAAACTGGCATTTAATCTGTCAAATAAAAAACAACAAAACCATCAAAGATATTTCAAAGCTGCATTTTTTTTTTTTACAACGTCTTTATAAAATTATCTTTAAAAAATAAGGCATTATTTAGGATCAAATGTGTAAACTGAAACTGAGGGAAATAAATAGTCCCAAGAATTTCAGGTTTGTTTGTTTTGTTTTTTTATACAGCAAGAGTCTTAATTTATAACTTACATAAGCTACATTATATTGGAATAAGACACGAATAAGATAATTTATTACAAAATCTTTTGAGCTGCCAAAGTTAAGGAACTAATCCGCAATCTAGAAACCACTGCGTGTTTAGAGGAAAGTACTTGTATTTGGAGTATACATATAGGTATATTTGTACTTTCTGCTGGTTTTGTTAATGTTTCATGGAAACATTCAGTACAAACCAATGAGGCCTGAGCTGCTGTGGACTCTATCTTCAAGCAATAACACAAGGAAAGAGACACAACAAAGTGACACACAGGCTGGATGTACTGAATCATCTGACAACTAATATATATATATATACATAAACAACTGTCTTATTACAGAGTAAATAATGTATTACGGCTGAACATATTCCTCTGGAAGCTTGGATGCTTCTTATGCGGCTCTTAGCATATTAAACACTTCACTTAAGCTATTTTATCTTAGCTTTATCTCGCTAGTACCCTCCTCGGTCAGCAGTCTACAAACCCACCTGTTTTTCGTCCTCGTACTCCACCTGGGTGTCCGAGTCGAGGTTTTCCGACGACATTGTCTGAGTGCGGTGGGCCAGCAGCTAGCCTCTTTGCCACACAACACAATAGCTTGAACAAACCAGGAGACGTTTGACAATCCTGCACCTAATCCTGATTTTCTAAACACGACAGCTCCCCAACAAAGATGGCGTAACGAGATGCGACGTCATTACATGAGGCAAGGGATGTTTACAGTTGACAAGTACTTTAGCCAATAGGGCGTCAGCATGAGCAGTACTTAGCCAATCAGATATAGCCATTCAGGTTGAGCTATGTGATTGACAGCCAAGAACCCAATGGCTTTTCGATATCATCGGCCGCGGCAATGCGGGGGCCGCGTGACACTGCATCAACGCAAAGTAGATAAGAAGAAAAAAAACTGTTTTCAGTTTGGTTTAACATATACAATTGAACATATATGTTAAACTTAATTTAAATGTAATTTTTGGCCCATAAAAAATTATATTCCTAGCACAGCAAGCTGTTTGTGCTGTTGTGCTGTTATTCCTGCTCTGTGATTGGCTGCTTACGGCGACCCCTTTACGTCTTTACGTCTTTAATTTTAACGTTTGCGGTTGATTAAACTTCTGATTGTGAGGGACTGCCGAAGGTAATAGTTAAACGTAACGGTTTATTGCTTTCATTTGAATTTAATGAATTTCTCTATTTTTTTAAATAGTTTTAGCTTTATTATTTTGGAGGCGATCCTCAAAAAACATAAAAAGTTGAAATAACTGAATAAAATTAGCTAGCTAACATAATGACAAGCCATTTTTTGTCACTTCAATATATTCTCTGAGATTGCTTTCTTTATCTTTGCAGATTTGTATTTTGTGTTTTATAACATCTTTCTCAATCAATGGCCAGTGTTCAGCGAGTAAGACCTTCGCAGGTAATTTTATTTAGATTGTTGTTTTTTATCACCTATGGATTATAAATGTTCTCATTACAGTTGGGTTGGATTGAACTATATTAAAGAGGACAATCACTCAACACAATTTATCTTTGTACAGTGATGAAAGTAAGTATTTGAACAGCCTGCTATTTTGCAACTTCTCCCACTTAGAAATCATGGAGTGGTCTGAAATTGTCATGGTAGGTTCATGTCTACTTTGAGAGACATAATCTAGAAATAAATTTTAAAAACTCCAGAAATCAAGATATAGGATTTTTTTTTTTTAGCTATTTATTTGTATGATACAGCTGTAAATAAGAATTTGAACACCTGTCGATCAAATCGAATTCTGACACCCAAGACCTGTTATTCTGACTTCAAAATGTCCACCTCCACTCCATTTATTATCCTCAATAAGATGCACCTGTTTGAGGTCATTAGCTGCACAAAGATGCCCCATACAATCAGCAAGAATTCAACTTTGATTTCTAAATGGGAGAACCTGCAAAATAGCAGCATGTTCAAATACTTATTTTCCCTCACTGTATATCTCTTGTTTTAGATTAAAAAAACAACAACTGAATGTTGGAACTGTAACTATATAGTCATATGTTTACATCACTTTTTTTCATCAAAATGTTTTTATCACTGCTGCTTACCTTATCATGGCTGCACTTTAAAAAATGAAATAGTCCAGAGAGCTGAACTTAACGAATTGTCTTTTTGTTTACACTTGTGTATGCAAAATGACAAAATAAAATCCGTCTAAGTTTCAAAGTAAATGTCTCTGTCATTAAATCAACAATATATAATATGGATAATGATCAATATTCGTGGTATGTTTCAGAAGAAATCTTTCAAACCAAAATGAGTTACAATTTTATATTTGCTTCATGTATTTTCTATATGGCTATATATCAAGTGTACCTTTATTGACTCCAATCCTCTTTGGCAATTTTCTATTATATATTTTACCTATGTAATAAAAATGTCACTATATTTTAAACTTTAAGAGTAATCGTACTATAATCAGTTGTAGTAGACCAAAAAGTAGTGATCATGATTTTTACTAATGTTCAACAACCCTTCAGTGTGTTTTGTATTTTACCAAACAAATAGAAAAATTGGAGCATTAATTTTAAATGTTTAAAATTCTGACTGCATAGTGTTGCAGTTTATATTGTTGCCTTGTAACAGGAAGGTTTTTGGTTTGAATCCATGTGACTTAGAGCGTATAAACTCCTTGTCTTTTGTCTTGTTTACTCCGGGTTGTCCCTCCCACAGTCTAGAAACATGCCTAATAGGTTGTTAGGTGGCTTTAAATTGTCCTGAGGTGTGTGTACATGGTTGTATGTCTCAGTGATAGACATGCTACCTGTATAGGGTGTACCCTGCTTTCAACCCAACAATGGAAAAGTCACACCCCTCCCCATGATTCTGGTTATTTTGAAAATATTAACCGTGCACAACTAAAACTTCTTAAAGTCTAAAGCCTATTTGTCTCACTCCTGCAGGCTATCCAGCTGCTGCCTAATGAGGTTGTCTCTGAGCAACAGTCAGTTGCTGCTGTAAAGAAGCTTCTAGCCATCGCTGTTTCCAGCATCACATACCTCAGGGGGATATTCCCAGGCAGAGCCTATGGGACCAAATATCTTGACGGTAAGAACACATATCGTTCTGAAACGATTGATCGGATCAATTTTGATTAATCAGTTATTAGAATAATTTTCAACAGTTTTTTTAATTAAAATCAAATCATTACCTTGAGTAATGGTGCAGAGTCTAAAACAGGCCATTTGCTGAAAGAATGGTCTTCTTAAATAAGCAATTAAGAAAACGCTTCAGACAAAAGGTATAAACATTTATAAACATAGAATATATACAATTTAAGATTACATTTTTTATTTATGCTTTTATATAATTAAGTGTGTGAATGTGCATTTTTTACATATTTAGATTTTTGCAATTAATTTAAAGTATTCTGTAAAAGGTTTTTTTATATAGTCTCAATTTTGTTTGATTATGTAGAAGCATGAATTCATTAAAATAATGTAAATGAATTAGTTAATTGAAAAACATATTCAATACATTAATGGATTTCTATAATCAAAAATGTTCTTCCCTCTACTGTTGCCCTTTTTTTTTTTTTTTGCAGATCAGAAAGTGATGATCCTGAAAGAGGACCACAACTGTCCAGGAACTTCTCACATACTCAAGTGGTAAACTGCACTGACTCCACTCAGATGCACTGATTAACTAAATGTACCGGTACCTAACTGTGAGCATGTTAAAAGAGAGGGTTTGAGTGACAATACACTTCATTGTTGCACTTTTAAGAGATTATATTTCATATATTTCTGGTGCTACTTTAAAATAGAGCCAATGACTCAGATATTCAACCTTTTTAAATTTTTTGTAAATAAATAGTGTTTCATTCTTCCAGGATGGCGGGTTGTTTTGATGCCATCGAGAAGAAATATGTAAGTCTTGTTTCAGCTTTGAACCCACAGAGAGATCATTTGATTTAGTAATTATTAGGGCTGGGTAAAAAAATTGATTTAATCGATTTTGAATCGATTCCTTTACATTTTTGCAAAATCGATGTCTAGGTAATAAGATAGATTCATTTTATAGTGACCCGCGTGACGTTCACATTCAAATAAGCAGGAAAGATGCACTCAAGATTACTTCAAGCCAGACAGCTGCCCAATACCCTATAGGTTGACATTAACAAATGGGGGCTGACCAGAAAACACCCTGTAGTTATTACAGACAACACTGCAAATATGGTTTGTGCACTGAAGATATTGCAGCTCATGCATGTCTGCTGTGTCACATCTGCTTGCTCGAGTGAGGCTTCTCTTTTTCACTTTTCACAAACAAGTTTGCACTTATGAGACAGTTTTGTTCATATCTCATGTTTAAACTGTCTGATTTACAAGTTTGCACTTTGTATTTAATCTGACAGGAAAAATAAAACACGTGAATATTTTGAAACACAGTTGAACCACTTTCATTATTGTAAAAACAGATTGAATCGAAATTAATCGATTTAGAACTGTATGAATCAAAATCGAATCGATTAAGGACTTTGATGAAAATACCCAGCCCTAGTAATTATGGAAGATGTAGAATAAATTATTCTTTTTCAACATAGTATGTCTTCCTTATTAAGCTAATGTGATCAAATTTGTCCTGGTTTATGTTCTTATTCAGCTGAGGGTCGTCATAATGTCTGTAAGTATTAGTAACCATCTCTACAGATTTGAGAAAATAAGTATCAAACTGCAACGCCAATCCAAGTGTCACTGTATTATTTCTTCTCTATTGAAAAAAATTAATTTGGGCTTTTAAAAATTATGTACAGTCTAATCCATGTATTTTTTTATTTTTTTTGTAGCTCTTTACTGACCCAAGCAACCCCCAGGTATTGGTCTAAGTGCGACTGTTCATCATTATTTTGTATTTTTTTTGTAACCTATAACCTTTTGCCTATAGAGAGTGACTGAGTGTTACAAGTTTAGGATCCAATACGCCCCTGAAGGAACAAATGTGGATTTTGAAAGGTATTTTTATGCCTGAATGTTTGGCTACTCTGATAGTAAAGGAGTGCACACATTTTACCTCACAGAAAGTTTGTGTGTGTTTGTCTGCCTGTGTACACGATAATTTGAAAAGTTATGAATGGATTTTAGTGGATTTTTTATCAGAGCTGTGCCTCATGCCAAGGAGAAATCCAAAACATTTTGACAATGATCCAGATCATAATTACATTCTGGATTTTAAAAGATTCTGGGAGATGGTGATGTAGGGAGTAAAACAAGCAGTTCCCACCTAAACCAGAGGGTGGCAGCAATGATTATTGACATTCTCAGCATCAGACTTCAGAAATCATGATCCAGACCTGCAAGTTTTAGCTATAGGTGTAGGTAACAATATGAGGCAATATTTGCTGCTTGGCAGAGGTCTGGTCTGAGTGCTTTTCTAGTTTAAATCTGTTTTCAATTTTAATGTGATATCAGTAATATGACCTTTAATGCAGTTCCATCCCCCAAAACATGATGTTTTGGGGGATGAAACAAGGTGAGAATAAATCATAGCCTTGAAATAAACAGGTTGAGGTCCTCACAGGCATAATAAAAACTTAATCAAACACTTCAACGGCTTCAAGTTTTAATACATTTTTAACAATGCTGCAATTTAGGGCTGCAACTAACGATTTTTTTGCAAATCAATTAATCTGTCAATTATTTTTATGATTAATCATTTAATAATCTGAAAGCCAAAGATTCTTTAAAGAAGATTTTTTTATGAAATTAAAGCAGGTGAAACACAAACTTTTACTTAAGGAGTTCTAGATAGAGCATATTGACAGATGAATTTTTTTATGTTTTTACAATTTTGATATAATTACTGCTCTAAGTGGGTTGCTCTTTCAGCTAAGGACATGATTTAGAGTCTCCAGTTAACAATGAATCGATTACTAAATTAGTTGACGATTACTTCAATAATCGATTAATCATGATTAATCCGATTAATTGTTTCATCCCTTCTGCATTTACAATATTGAACCAACTACTTGACAAGCGGTTGAAGTGATGAATTTATTAACTTTAACAATTGGTCCAGGCTCTCTGTGTGTTCTTCCTCCTCATTAGTAAAACCAATGAGAAGTTTTCCATGATGTCTGTGGGAACTACCAAAAAAGCAAGCATCTTACTGGTGAGGAAACTTTACACGCTGATGCAGAACCTGGGTCCTCTGCCAGAAAACGTCTGCCTCAACATGAAGCTGGCCTACTATGACGATGGTGAGAGAAAATCTTCCAGTTCAGTTTGATAAGAATCTAATTTAGCTGTTTTAAGCTGGTGAAGTTTTAGGGTCTTTGTTGCCTAGATGTTAATGTTTTGATTTTGTACTTGTTGGTTTCAGTGTTGATCTAATCAGAGTGGTGTTTTACTCCAGATTAATGTTGGACGATTAGATGAATCCATCGACAATTGACTCAGCCCTTCAACGACCGTGTTTTAAGCAATTTCATTGTTTCTTTTCTTGATCTATGGGCTAATACAAGGGCCTACAACAACAAAAAACAAACAAACAAAGAATGCTGTTTTTATTCTTACATACAAATTCTAGGGATGCACGATATTGGGATTTTGGCCGATATCCGATATGCCGATATTTTAAACCTCATGTAGCCGATAACCGATACCGATACCGATGTTAAAGCTGGACAAAAATAAGTAGTCATTGAAAATAGCAGTTTTGTTATCCATTTTTGACACTTTGAAAAATAATAAACTCAAATATATTTTCATATGCTGATATCAAATTGATTTTTAAAAACACGGTATCGATCTATTTTACTTTCAAAATCTCGTGAAATTTCATCGTTCTGTTACAAACTCTCGTGATATTTTGCAAATTCTTGTGAGATTTTGTTAGTAAAATAGATCGATACCGTGTCAATATATCAACATATAAAAATATGGCAAAATTTTGTGAATTTTCGGCGGATTTCGTAGCATAACGATGACATATAGCAATATTTCATTAGTAAAAGAGATTGATATGGTGTTTTTAAATGGCAATAATCAGCATATGAAGATATTGTGATATTTTAATGTATCAATATTTTTTCCCTCGTCTTTAGAAGTTTTTAAGTCTGTAAAAAAGAAGTTTCTGAGGAAGAAGAAGAAGTAGTAGTATTTTTTTTTTTTTAGACTTTAGAAACTCAGAAGCTGATCAAATATCGGGCTAAATATCGGTGGGGTGGCCGATGTCCGATATTCAGTTTTAAGGCTGATACAGGCCGATACCGATAGGGGGGTGATTATATTGTGCATCCCTAACAAATTCTTTTCAACTGCAGCTTTTTTTCCCCAGTACCACAATTCAGCAGCAGTTTATCTACTTAAACTTGACACAAAAAAAAAGAAAGAACTGATCCAAACAATAGACAAGTAGTTTTTTTTTTTTTTTTTTCTAACAGCCCAACCGAACCAGAGAGTTTTTCTCTCTGTGTTCGCTCCATGCGCTCCGTCCTTTACGGATTTGAATTTATCACAACAAATACAAAATTAAACAAAAAAATAAATAAAAGGAAAATTCACGAAATGAACATTTCCACTTGTGAATTTTTGCTTTCCATAAAAAAAAAAAAAAAAAATTTCACATTTAGATATACAAATTAAAAATTTATGTTTCATAACATGGCAACTGGAAAAGAGTAAACCATTCCCACTGGACAAAACCTATAAACTTTTGACAAGAAAACAAGCATGTTTACCTTATTGGGTTTCAGTTGTGGTTGTTAACAATATTACCAGTGGTGCAGAAGACACGCTTTGAAGCTATGCTTGTCTTTGCCCACAAAGTCACTTGCCTTAATATATCGTACATTGCCATTTGCTGGACTGATAAATATAGGTTGGAACTTTTTACATATCACCCAACCTTACTACAGATAGCAGAGTCTGAATTTTCTGTAGTGTTGCGCTAATGCCATTTTTTGGCCCCGATACCTGGCTTTGCAGTATTGGCCGATACCGATACCATACGTATACCATCTGTTTTAAATTGATGTGTATGTGTATATATGAAGAACTGCATACTACTTGGATGTAAAACAATTGCCATCATGGCTTTGTCAAGCTGCTGCCTACCTTTGTGAAGCAGGAAAAACACTAATACAAAGTGAATCTAGAAGAAATTTTTATTGCCTGCCTGGAATGGGTGACAACAGTGGAAGAAACTTTTGGCTCTCAAAATGGTATCGGTGCCCTATTTGTTGGTACTCGCCAATACCAATGCCACCATTTTAGTGCTGGATTGATGCCTCGTCCGATACTGGTATTGATGCAACACTGATTTTCACTCCCAGATACAGCATCAGTTTTGTCTGTCTTCTTACTGAAAATACTGAAAATGTTCTTTTTATTCTGAAATAAAGGAGCCACAGGTCACCAACAATGTGAACCTTCCTAATCATTTCCCCTCTTGTCACAGTTTCCCATTATTGATTTGTGGTGCAGAGAATAATGTTTCTATATGGAGTATACCTTTAATGAACAATGCTTCTCTCCTTGCTAGAAGACAGACAAGTAGACAAGGGGAGTAGTTAGTTGATTGCAATCTACAAATATTGCACTAGATGGCAGTAGATCCTTTAATCCAAGAGAATCAGTCTTAGATCATTTAACATCAGGCTTTGAGCAGTGTTAAAGATTATATTAGTGTGTTAAAACCTTTTTTGTTTCATTGTCCTTGAATAACTAACCTGTATTTACGAGTTATTTTGTTATTTTTCCTTCGTAAAGTCACTCCTCAGGACTACCAACCTCCAGGTTTCCAAGAGGCTGAAGAAACCACACTAGTGTTTGAGCAGGAACCTGTCACACTGACCTTTGGCAAAGTTGAAACCCCCTACCACTGTTTGAAGTTTGACATGGCCACAGAGAAACACAGACTGGAACAGGTGAAGCAATTGATAGTAAACTAGCTTTGTAAAAAATACTTATTTTAGCATTGTTGTTTTTTTTTTATTTGTCATGCAAACTGATTCCTCCAAGTGTTTTCTATCTGCAGGTTAAAGAGGGTGTTTCTGTGAATAAAAAATGGATTCTGGAGATTGAAGACCCAATCAACCTTACACAGGTTCGTCCAACAGTGACATCTTTAAAAACGATAACAAAATTAGGCAGAGGGGCCTTGGGATTCCTGTGAGGACTCGAACTTCCATGCAGTCAGAGTCCTTCCTCTCTGCCTTAGTTTGCTTATTGAGAAAACAGACATGGAGTCTGTTAGTTCAGTTAGTTGTTTAAAAGTTGAAATCTTGCAAAAATGGCCATCCACTGTTTTATTACTGTATGTTTATTAACTGCTTGTGACTTCACTGTTCAACGTGTTTTAATGTTTAGAGTCCTGATCTCAAACTAGTGGAGGAGTCTGAGAACTTCACTACAGACATGGATAACACAGGTAATAGTACAAAGTGACATCTATTTAAAAACCCTTAAAATTAGAAGTTAAGTTATTCAAAAAAGATTTAAGATCCAGCAATGGAAAATAAATTAAAGGTTCACTTACTCATTGGTGGTCTCAACTGGTCTTAATTTAATGATGGTTAAAGAACTTAATGAGCCATTGTAATTTGCAAGGCTGACTGTTCACACAGTGTAAACAATTTTAAAACATTCTTCAATTAATAATCCAGCAATGGGTGGTAAAATATTATTATTATACTTTGGCACCTAAATATAGTTTGATTAAGGAAGAGGGAAACATTTGATGGATAAAATAAAAAACTCCTTTAAAATATATATGATGTTTCTGAGCTAATTTGAATGAAAAAATAATGCATCCTTTTCTTGCATTAACTTAAGCAAATTCAGTTACTTTAACACAATTGTTTCATGTCCTACGCTGCTAACATGAAATAATAGTACTTAAGTAGATGCAAAAAAAACAATGCATCAGTTTTCTTCAGTGTGGAAAGAAAGGAGCATTTTACACATCAACCTTTAACTTCTAAAAAGGGAATTAAGATAACATGGAATCTCTCTGATATTTATTGTATCATAATATTGGTGGTTATGATGTCACATTTTCCTGTTTTGCACCTAGACTGTACTAGTGGCAGCATGAAAGCATGGAGTGTAAACAATATTAGGCTTATAATATTGTATTACAATAGGGCTTTTTAGTTGTGCTGCTGCATGCAATGAGTTTTACAGAAGCTCTTGTACAGGTAAAAGAAAAACCATAGAGATGAGTTTGAAGTTGATAACCATGTTTTTGTAATGGAACTACGTAGCTGCTAATCAGATTAATGACTATATAGTATGCAGTCATTAAATTAATAATCACATAAAAGGAATAGAGTACTCTTTGGACACAATTTCCTTTTATCGGAAATTGGATTTGGTGAAAAGACTATCAAGGGCCATGCATCAAGGGATACCAAACCATTTTTGTTGATGATACTTTATGTCACATGTTCAGGCAAACTTGGATAGAACTTAAGAGTCAAAACTTACGATTTTATTTTTAAAAAACTAACCTTGTTATAGAAATGGGCTGTTTTGATCAGGGCATATAAAAATTAGGTAAATCAAAGGTTTTTACCCCCAAGTCTATTTTTGACCTTCCATAAAAAAAAGAGCCCAAATAATAATAATAATATAAGTAAACAACTCAAAGAAGGGAGTTTGTCAAATACCGGTATTTACATTTTCCTGAATCACTGATCCTATAAATGTTATTTACCACCTTATTGGGTAAAGTACCTGCAATTCCATTTGTACAGGGATGTTTTTGTTAGAGCCTATACATTGAACACAACATACCTTTGTTATCCTGTATAATGATACCGGTTATTTAGCAGGGGTTGTAATAATGACTGCAGTTAAAAGTTGAAAAAAAAAAAAGGAAAATGTTTACCTTAAGTTAAAACAGTAACTTGTATTTTTTTTCAACTGTAGAGATCCAATTGTGCATTGATAAGGAGGAAGAAGAAGAGAAGGAAAGTGGTGAGGATGTCCCCGAGGTATGTTTGTTCCTCCTGACCGAGACTTCATCCACATGTTATGTATGTTGCATCACATGAAATTCAATTCTAATTGTTTCCTATTTAGTGCAAATCAGTAAAAAAAAACAAAAAAAAACAACACAATATTAATAATAATAATAATAATACATTTTATTTATAAAGGCGCCTTTCTGGACACTCAAGGTCACCGTACAAAAGCATAAAAAAGTGTCAGAAAAATAAAAATAATAATATTTATATATTATATTAGACAAAAGACATCACTGAAAAGGATCTTAAAGCAGCTGTGTCTTTAATGTGGATGTTGGACCCCCCTTCCCCTAGTGGGTCCAGGAGGTACTAAGGGGGATCAGGACATTTTTCTGTTACCTAAGAGACCTGGAACATCAATAATGTCGCTTAAAGGGGAATTTCGTTTTTTTTACATTTGGCCCTTGATTTTACGTTATTACATCATGTTCTACTCACCTATATAAGTTTTGTGTCATTTGGAGCTGTTCTGCAGATATTCCGTTAGGTTATATCCAGGTAACGTCTTCCTATGGGTGAACGACTTGAAGGCACAAACTAAACTGTTCATAATTTATTCTTTATGGTACACCAGCAGTTTTTGTTTTTTCTTTTTCAAAAAAAAAACTTTATTTAACCAATGTACATTACACCAGGCGCCTACGCTCTACCTCTTATATTTAGACATCTTCCAGGCATGTGAGTAAAACTAGCAGCAGTTCAGCGGACAGGATGATTGAACGGTAGCCGGCGCACACGGGGGTGACGTCATACAAACGCTGCTTTGTTTTTAAAAAATAGAAATATAAAAAATATAACCGTGGATGTTTGGGGGACAGTTCGCCTACATGTTATGAATGCTGGCGTACCATAAAGAATAAAATTATGAACAGTTCAGTTTGTGTCTTCAACTCTTTGCCCATAGGAAGACGTTACCTGGATATAACCTAACGGAATATCTTCAGAACGGCTCCAAATAACACAAAACATATGGGTGAGTAGAACATGATGTAATAAGGTAAAATCAAGGGCCAAATGTAAAAAAAGCTGTTCCCCTTTACACTAAAAAAATCATAAAATTATTTTATGGGCCTCTTTTACACAAGTACCAAAAATCTTAACACATGAGAACTATGGAGTTATTTTTATTTTAATGTGTGTATTCATTCAGAAATTGGTACTAAAACATGTTTGGCTTATCAGGTTAAATCTTTGTCCTTAGCATCTCAGCCCCCGACTCAGGGGCACAGGTCCACAGTGGTCAGTAATCTACTTAAAACAAGTGAATATTCAGGTTTCTGTTACTCTTTACCAGCTAGTTAGTGGGTTAAAACATTCAGGGAATTTTCAGGGTTAGAAACCTTCCAGGTAACACTGGACATTAACACGAACAAACTGGTTAAGTAAAATGTTGAAGGTTGACACATCACAGGGATTTTCATGGAAACTTTTTGGAAATAATAATTTTTCTTTAAATTGCATGTGTAGTTATCATCGATGTTAATCACATACAAAAAGTAAGCTGCCTTTTGCAGTGGTTCAAAGGCCGACCTCTACATGTAATCTGCATTCCTCACATGATGACTTCTAGAGGCCTGGACTATTGAGGGTTTGTTAATGTGTACAAGGCTACTGGCTACTTACTATGTTAGCACTTCTGGATAAACATTTTAGAGAATCTTAAGTCCTGACCACACCGAATCAAATTATGCACACAGAAAATCTTGTTGGATGACGTTGTGGCGTTTAGCGCTCATTAAGAGTCAATTGGGATGATCACAGCCGACACTTTTTCTGCAAGAGGTTTTTTGTAGCTCTGACTATGACAGACCCCAGGTCTATTTTAGTCGGACTATGCATCAATTCAATTGCAATTCCATGGGTCTGACACACAGGTGTCAAACTGGTTCCAGAAAGGGCCTTGTGGCTGCAGGTTTTCTTTCCAACCAAGCAATAGCACACCAGACTCCAGTCATCTCATCAAGTGAGTCCAATCTGAACATGATGACTTGATGAGATGAATGGAGTCTGGTGTGCTATTGCTTGGTTGGAAAGAAGACCTGCAGCCACACGGCCCTTTCTGGAACCAGTTTGACACCCCTGGTCTAACAAGAAGAGAGAAGCGGTTACAAAGTAAAACACGTGCAATTTGGGGGGAAACTACGAAATAAAATCTGTCAATCGAACGTGAAAACAGTTTTGGAGTTGCACAGCACATATATAGCATGTGGGACTGACTCGTGCAAAAACAGTCAATGACACATTAAAAAATGAATACCTTACCCATGATAGGAGTTCAGGAGGAGACAAAACGGATAAAGTAGTGATCTTATTTGAGCCTTGCAACAAAAAAAACCAAGGGACAGAAAGCTCAGTTTATCACTTTCCTTGAGAAAAAATTAACTTCAACAAACTTCAGGAGGACAGAAAAAAGGTATAGTAAATAGTGATCTTCTATGAAAAAATAAATAAATAAGGGACAGAGAGTGTAGGTAAGGACAGCTTATCACTCTCCCCTGTTTATGACTAAATAAAAAATAAAACAAAAACTTAAACTTCCCAGATTTCTCCCTGAGAATCACCTCTCACCACCTTAGCCGGAATATAAACCGTCCCACAGCGTTTATTGCTGTGTTTTCCTTTTGGTTAAACGTAGTTCTCATGATGTTTTTTAATATTGGCCAATAACAATCCTCTATCTGTTCCAGTTTAAGAGATGATACACAGACTCATGAAGTGGGGCTTTGCTTTATAGCTGCACCGGCTGTTTTTTATTTTTTATTTATATTTAATAACTTTTTATAATGTCCCTGTCAAATAAGATTCAATTTGTGTGGGACAGAAACAGGATTGAGAAAAACTCTGCATATATCTTCTCATCCTACCTAGTCGGAGCCTCTTTATATGCAGTCAGTATGACATGTGAAAAAGAAAAAAAACACAAATCGAAGATTAAAAACAACCGGTGTGATCCGGCCTTTATTGGATTAGCTACATCAGATGTGTTTTTGTTTTTCTGCTGCCTCTTTTGAAATATTTTCTCAGTAATTTGTTTGAAAAAAAAAATCTCAAATGCAACAGTTGGTTTAGGGGTATTTGACACATCCATTCATCCATCCATCCATCCATTTTCTGACACGCTTTATTCCAAGCTGGGTTGCAAGGGGTGCTTTGACACAAAGGAAGTGTTTTATATGGGTATATATACTCAACATGACTTTTTGTTAAATAAAAAAATTATTATTCAATAAAAAACTGTCATGATGTTACAAAGTTCAGACCCAAATGCAGATAACCGAACAGAGAGACCAGGGAAAAGGTTTAACGGGTTTTATTGAAGAAGTTTAGCAGAGGGAGAAGTGTTGCTCTGAACACTGCTCAACCAGAACTGTAAAGTGAGGGGAAGACACAGCGGTTAGTTCAGGCTCAGTGGGGAATTTGACTCGTGAACTTTGAGAAGAGGATTTGGTTACCGACTCACGTTTCCAGAGAAGTTGTTGAATCCTTGACTCCTGTCTGCGTGCCGTGGTTCCAGTGTTTGTCTGATTCGGTGGAGAGCAGAACAAGTTTTATCCAGAATGCGGTTGATAGTTGGTGAACGGAGAAACTGACGCTCAGTTGAAGCTCAGTTGATCCTTCCAGGGAGTGAAGGTCCGAGAAATCCAGTTTCCAGGATGACTTCCTGCCGAGAGGCAAAGACAAAAACAAAGTTAAACTCAGGTTGACAAAAAGCTCAGCTTGACTCAGCAAAAACTAAGCTTGGCTAGAGTACCCTAAACTGGCAAGTAGTGACAGTCAACAGCTTAAGAACACTTCGTTTAACGAGGAAACCATCAGCAGGTGTGTGAGGAGGCGGACCAGAACCAGGCGCCTCCTGGTGGATGAAGGGAGACAAACACAGAAACACAAACACAAAAACAGGAGTCCTGACAAAAACAAACAACTTAGTGAGGTTTGGAGATGTAAAAATATTTATTGAGTTAATTTGTACTGCTGCTTGTGTATAATAACAGATCTACTATACATTTTTGGAAATTATATGGATAGTTTTAGTTAACCCGCACTCACAGCTCATATATCTTATTCCTATCTCAGTTTTCCTATTGAAAGTTCATGAAATACACAAATTACCGAGTTGTGTACAATCAGTCCTTCGACCAACACTTATTCTGAGTTGAACAGCACTGCAGCTTGTTCTTTAACGCTTCACAGATGGATCTTTGACCTTCCTTAATGGTCTCTCTGGATCCTACTTAGATCCTCCCCTAAACTCTCTTTAGCAAACTCATTATTCCTATAGGACTACGGTTTGCAGGCTGAGGCAGCCATGAAAAACAGCTGCTTTTGTATCTTCAGAACCATTTTTGTTTTGATTTGGCAGAATATGTTGGACTAATATCATCGTTCAATATTAGTGTCCATTCTTAGTTTTTTCAAATTAAAGATCCTGAAGAGCTCATGATGCTAAGTGCTTTAACGCAGCGTGGATCTTCCATTGTGCCTCACAGTAGGAATGAATGGTTTTCCGTATATTCATCTGTTCTCCTCCTGAGATCCGTTCCCTTTGTGATGTGTCACCTCACATTTGCACCTTGAATCTGTGAAATATCAACATTTCTAAGCACTGTTTTGCTTTTCAAAGTCTTTATATATATTAAATTATGTTTATCATAAATGTTAATGTTCGCTCAAGGATTTGTAATGAGAATGATTATTTTATTTCCCACAGAATCAATTTACTTAAATGAATGATAAAATTTTTTCTAATTTCCTTTGTCTGATATGATGCTTTAGTAGCAACAGATGATGGATGTTTTTAAAAATGTTAGCATCTGTGTGGGCAGGAGACAAACGTTACCATGAAAAGGAAGCAGTCGACCAGAATCAAGGAGAAGATGGTGAGAGCAAAAATCATTTAACATTGATTTTATGAAGAAGCAAATAATTTACTGTGATTATGAAGTCTAGAAAGTAGCTAACACAGAGCCCTCTGCTGTTTTCAGGTTTCCCAGTATGACCTCGTCAGCAGCCAGGAGCCATCTGCCCCTGGAACCATTAAGAAGCGCAGGTTCAGCGAGCCTAAAAGTGACTATTGATCTCAGTGCAAATAAGGCACTTTGTTAAATTAAAGTCTTGTTGTTTTTTTTCATTTCCATAACAAGCTGTAGAGTTCGTTTTTAAGACGATCAACACCAGTTTGTTTATGAACATGGTTTGGAATAATTTTATAGTTAAGACTTTAAGGCAGTTAAGTATGAATTGTTTTAGCTTGTTTAATGGTCCTATGGGCTTATTTGTGTTGCATTTATGATTCTGTAATACTTAAGAACAAACCTGGGCAGCAAAAACTTCTTGGTGAATTTCTGATTACTCATTAAAGCTGAATGTCTGTAAAATGAACAGCAAATGTTAATAAAATACGTTTCAACACTGTTCCTAGTTTTATTTTATGCCAAACAAATAATATATAAGGAAACTGAAGTAAAAAATCTAAGAGTCTGTGAACACAAAAGCCTTATATCTTAAATATTGTCCACAAATCTGTTTTAATCTGTATTAGAGATGACTTCCCTTTTGCCAGGATAAATTTTCCACCTTTACAGGTGTGACATATCCAGATCCTCGTCCATCAGCTTATTACAAAGGTGTGCCTTCAGCAGGCCATAATAAACGACTACTTAAAAATATGCTTCTTCAATCACACAATATGCCACAGTTTTTAAAATGAAGTGTAAATGGCATGTTGACTGTGGGAATGTCCATCAGAGTGGCCCATGAATTGAATGTTAATCTCTCTAACAAGCTTTCTCCAACGGCGTTGTTTGTTTTTATTCTTGTTACACATCCACCCAGCCTCACAACTTTAGATCATATGAGGCCCAGGGCCCAAATATTCAGCTTCTTCCCTCTAAGATTATCTGAGGCCAGCCTCCCAGACAGATGCTGCAACAATTACTTCGGATGACCAAAACATTCTAGATCTGTTGGCAAAAGCTCAGGGAAACTCATAAAAGTTTGTCGTCTTCATCAGGGTCTTGACCCGACTGCAGTTCATTGTCTTGATTGCCTTTAGTGGGGAAATCCTCGCATTTGATAGAGTTTGGCGCTCTGGGGAGGTTTTTCACAGAAGAAACCTGGTTTTCACTGAACAGGGCAGTTAGTTGTACAGTTAAAGGAATAGTACACCCAAAACATGATTAGCCTTCATTTTCTACTCACCCCCATGCTGAACAGCACTCTGGAGTACTTTTTTGATATCTCAAATGCATCTGGAGATCTGGGAGGCTTCTTGCTGTCTGCTGACATTCAAATAAT